ACTACAATGTTTGTTTGTTGTAGATAAGAGACGAATAGATTTGGATCTGTAGTCTCAACGACTTCTTAATGTGAAAGAACAATATATAGGAATGACTATGTGATAAATGGAAGTGTAGATTAATATGATGTGCACAGGAATGGCTTTGTGACGAACATATAACACGATTCATTTTCTTTTAAGCAATGGATTATCATCAAGTTTCTCAACAGAGGAAGTGAGATTGTAACTGAATGTATCTATGGCAATCAATTTTTGACCTTTCAGATCTAATCATTATCAGTTCATGTCAACTGATCTTCAAGTCGAATTAAATGTATTCAAATGGTGAGTGGATTCACATATAGTTCAATCTTCATTCTTCGAAAAAGTTAGAACTTCTAACTTTATCAGTTTCTAAGGAGATTTGAATCTCACCAACAAGAAATGATCACAATCCGTGAAGATGTAAGTGTGCTGGTTTCGTATGTGTTGACTTACGTGTACCATTATCTTCTCCTTCATGAGATCATTTGACAGTGAATAATCCTTCTAAATTATTGAAAATACGAAAATAGATAATGGAATATCTGTAAAATGAAATGAATATATGTAGACTTGATGTTTTAGGTATTCAAGTTCAAGTAAAACTTTGTGTACTTACGGACTGTTCATGGTCGTTCAATATTCAGCTCTTTCTGAAAGTGCCTAGATTCGGAGATCATAATCATACGAATATGATTACAGAGATACAGTTCAATGAAGTATGGATCAATTAAGTGCTAGTAGAGTATTTAAAGATAACAAATATGATTTGATATATTGTAGGCTTTACAAGTTCAAACTGACTCCACTCAGAACATAGCTCATTGCTGCACATTTGTTCAGTTTGATTCACTTGTCTACAAAGTAGTGTCGTATCAATGAGATATTAATTATACTAAATGGATGTGAGAAAAGGAAACAAAACAAACCACAGCGGAATAATTTAAGAACCCACTTTCATTCAGAACATCAAACTCAAGCATTCAGATGTCTTTTCAATTCATTTGAGAGTCGTTCGTAGTGCATTCTGTTTTCATACCTAAGTATCTGACCTTTAATTTTAATAAAGAAAGCATGCAAATTGATTGATGATTTCACATTGAATGGATAAATGAATTCGAATTAGACTGAAGATTTAAAGGAATCCTATTGACTTAATTGAATCAGCTATAAGGCATCACATCACAGACAATTTGAGGAAAAGGTTCGGCATGTTACGAAGAGCAAGCGACTGATTCACTGAAGAAATCGAATCAACTTTGAATCATGAGATTAATTTGTGATCAAGAAAACTCAATAACAATTTTAGTTTGAAGAAAATTATGGACTTACCATCAGAAGAATCATCAAAGTAACTGACTTGACTTTCGTAATATTTCAACGGGAATTCTAGTCTAATGTACCGAAAAGATGTAAACATATGGATAGCGCCTCCACCACAAAATGTATTTCCATCAGACCGAATCCTTTAAAACTGCCAATCACAACTTGAGACTAATTGTTTGTGAGTAATGATAATGATGAGACTGTATATGTCTATTAGGATCTGACTGATTACTTACATGTTGATATGACTCATTCTTAATAATCACTTTTGTAATGTTTTTCCAATCCTTTTGTTTACAGATTTCTTCACAGTTACAGAACTCGGATAATGCGTTCAAGATCATAGAAATTTGTATGAACAGATCATATGGAGAATTGAATCTGAAATGGTTCAGGTGAATAAAAGAACGTCATGGAATCGAAATTCAATTTTTACGATACACTCATTTACCTCACGTTTTCAGCCATCATTCACCTCATCACCTCGCTAAAAGTAGTTTACCTCAATAAAAATTCTGCAAGGCAATTTCATCATCATTTAATATGAAAATTGTAACTTCTCAACGCAGTCACATCCATTCTGTTTGATCACCATATTATACCATTGGCTGTTAAAAGTTATTCGGATTAAAAAAGATAATAAATTTAGTATCCATCATGTAGAAGTAGGACTGACTGTGTCCAGTTATGTAGATTGAGTTCGTCAAAGATTGTACGAATAGAGAGACAATTTATTCTGTTAAGAGTGAGTTTTTGAAGTTTGACAACGACTTCTCGAACCAGACACAGATTTATAGTTACAACAGTGATTATTGTATCTGATTACTAATAATTTTGTTCACATACAACGGAAAGACTGATTTCCATTTTAGTATATCCACAAATCATTTGAGCTTGCAAATAGATGTTCTCTTGTTACAGTAGAGATGGATTGTTCTTCTTTAGAAGGGTTTTGACAGTAATCAAAATGTTATTTTCTCGAGCATCACAGTGTCGTAGAACAAGGAACTGTTGTGTAAATTCATGAATGAATCAACATCAAAATTAGTTTTAGTGATACATTGTACAGTCTATGCTGTTGGTCAGTACCTAATTATGAAAAGAAATCTAGTCTGCTAAGGATAAGTAGGATTTTGACCAGAACTTATTTGGTAGGCTCTCTTTATACTTTCTTGTTGTTAAAAATGAATATGTTGAAAGTACTCAGTTTGGCTGTACAATTTGATAGTTCTTGCATGTAACCTATTATTCTTTACTGTTCTACATTTTCCGTTCACTGGCTTGTAAAGTGTGCTGAAGGCAGTAAGCAAGATGTTTGGTTGATATTTTGAGGTCATTAAAAATATGATTGTATATAGACATCAAATATCTTCCTGAGACTTGTTAGATGTTATCTCATCGGATACTCGCCATATCCTTCATTCATATCTTTCTTCGTGTATATCTCCTGGTAGGACGAGACGTCAGTACATTCGGATACATGTATGCAAGCAAACGAACAAAAGCTTCACAATGGTTTTGATGTGTGAACGAGTTTGACAGGTATTATATAAGTTATTATTTCCCCTGTCCTTAGTATTACATGTAACTGATTGTTCATCGTTGTTGGATTGTGTCGGCTTTTTGATAAGAAAATATATTTACGTTCCAGTCAGGCTAATTACGTGTTATTGATGTGAATTGTATTGAAGTTCTGTAGAATAGACAATGAGAGGAAGTCTAGCTTAGTGTGAGGAAATGTGCCATAATATTAACATCCTCAGCATCTTCCTTCGTCATAGCCCAGATTTCGAACCTTTCATAGTAGTCCTCAAAAGCTTCAGAAGTTGAATGAATATCTAACATTTCCATAGCAACGCCAGTATAATGTTTCGAATTATTTGAATTATAGTATGAACTAAGAATTCGAGAATTAAAGCACTTGAATAAAAAATTACGACACAAGCACAAACGAATGTTTTGTATTTGGAATTCGAAATTGAGCATTCAAGAAGTACAAAAGTATCATTAGTTCATTCAAACACCACACTTAAATATTCGTTTATAGTAAGTGAAAGTCCCATACGTGTAGATGAAGTGAAATTGAGCGTTATAACAACCTTATCTAGCAAATATATTTCGTGACAAACAGGTTGTTCGAGATGACTTAGTCAATAACTTGTATTATTTCACATCCTTTCAATTGAGAATGTTGTACAAACTCCTGATTTTCTCCAAAAGACAACACATTCAATTCCAAGTAGTTCATCTACTCGAATTATACATGTAAGATCCTCTTTGAATGTTTTGTGTGTGTGTGTGTGTGAAAATCCCTCCATGTATACATTTGCACTTTGTTCCTATTGACCCCCTTAGTTGTAGATTGTTAGTCTTTTAATCACATTTGAATTGTTAATATTTTCTTTTTTTTTATTATAGTTTTTTTATTTTTCCTACGCCTTTACTAAGTTTTTGTGTTTCTTTCCGAACTGCATCTGTGTTGTTTTACTTGATACGTGTTCTTGGCAGCAGCCATATTGATTTGCTTTTTCTTTTGTGCGTACTCTGTTCAGTCAGGTTAGAACAGCGTTCATTTGTTGTGACTGGTAATTTTTCTCGTATCTTTTATCAACTTCTTTATTTATTGTAATTTAGATTTGATTGATTGAAAGATTATTGGTTGAATAGCCGGGTGGTAATATTTGTTTAGGTAACGATGTACATTTAAATTAATGATGAATTATAGAACCGCTATTTACCCGATTACTTGTTTTGATTTTGACGGGCAAGGGCGCGTGTGTAACGTACCTAGAGGGCTATTCTTCATTCCAAACCTTAGTTTGGATTCTACAATATATTCTTTTCAACTTTTTCCTTTTTTTGTAAAAGCACACACACTTTCCGTTGTGTAACTTACATAGCATGACATACTGTTGATTGCTAACAAAAACATTGGTACACACATATCCTTCGTTCTACATTCATTTGTGATTGAGTTAACTGAAGCCTTAATCGAATATTATCTACATTTATAGACTGTGATTGGGAATATATCATACGTTACATTGAATTGCACTACTAGAGGATTCATCAACTTGATTGGGATCATCAAACATTTATAATTGTGAATTTTCAGCACCAGACCGAATCCGAACACGCATCACTTTGGTGAATTCAAGTAAAGTCCCTATTTTCTATTGTGTTTGTAACAATTAACTTATACATAATAACATTACTATTGATCTTTAATAACTTTGTTGATACTTTTTATGTTTAAACATCGTCTGGTCCACCAAAATTCTCTTTAGTAAAAACTGTACGGTTTTCATCACCGTTGATTTCTAATTTATTCAAGATGCCTTCCAATGACCTCATAATTGTCTTTGTAAAAAGAAATAGTCAAAACATTTTGACATTAGTTTAGTGATTGAAGGTAATTGAATGACAATCATTAAGTTATTTATGATTGAATTGTGTTTATCCAGTTATATATTTCAATTTGTACAGGGAATCACTTATGAGTATCGTATGTTCGAATCTCAATAGGAATTCCAGTTCGTTCGAGATATATTTTGCCGATGAGTATCAATTAATACAAAATCGCAATCTCGAGAGTCATACCGACTACGTCAATGAAGAGGTAATTTTGATCTTTTGATACAGTAACAAAAATGGTTGGAATAGATACCAATACTTCAGAAGTAGACAATATTTTACAAACTATTGAGGATGATCAACACTTTTTAAGACGAATGGGAACTATGTTAGCTAATATGCTTATGTCAACTGTTACATGCACATTGCCATGTAGTTTAAGTGATACAACGACATCGATTGATCCAACAATAAGTAATCAAACAAGAGAAAATTCAGTTAGTTACAATAACATTTTAACTATCACATTTCATTGTATTTCACTTAGAATCATGAAGCTTGATTTAATACCAGAAGAGTGTGTTTATTAGGCTAATTAAACAGCTATTATTCCTAAATAATCATTCTATTCTTATTTTGACTGAAATCCTCAACCGATCAACGTTAGACCACCATTCAAAACCGGGAAGCATTCGGTATTGAGTGTGAACACTTGAACTCCAAACCACTCAACTGGTATACCAGGATAAAACTCGTCAATCTCCTCAACACTGTACTGACAATTATCGAGTGTTCACTATTAACTAGATCCAAGAGGGGATATTCAGAGTTCTAGTGAAAAGCCGTAACTAGTGGAATACAAGCCTATCAGATGTGAGACAGTTACTCACTGAAGTCAATGAAAGATGGTCGCGTAATATTGTGGATTAATTGAAGTTAGACACTAACACCGTTGGATGTCAGCTCATTGGTTCAGACATTAAGCACTTGAAGGCGAAAAAGTACTGAGTTCGATATTGTCGATGCGCGCGTCTGGGGAGCGCGATTCTCAGACAAAACGGTCATTCATTACTTTTGGGTTTTAAATGGTTTAGTATTGATTTGTTCATGATTTCAGTATCACCCGGAGATTTCAACATGCATTAACTCATAAATATTCCTTTTTTAGCTATTAACTGAACGTCTCTCATTCAATCTGCCTAATCAACCCAAAACTGGTTCAACATCGAACAAAGAAGCTTTCTCAATGATTTGCTTTCACGAAAATTTGTAAACCGGAGCAAACCCAACTAAATCAATTCAATCGACAATGGGAATGACGTCGAGTAAAATTAATCCACTGAACACTTCATCAGCACAAGATAGTGATGTAAATTATTTTCATTTCTCAAAATAGTCAAATGTTCTACAGAATCATTCTCATAAGTAGCTTCGACGTTCTGGTGAAACTTGTCCCGAGTGTTTTATTTCCCCAGACCAAGTCATAGAACATTGTTGAACATTTTTGGAGAAAGGGGTAACTATGGGAATTTTATGTATTGTAACTGGGGTTAGAAAGGTTATGGTTTCTAATTTTTGTTTCTATTATCAACTAAAAGTCAGAATTGGTGATTGGATTGTAAAATATCATCTGCACATTTCAAGAAACTGTGATTTTTTCACATAACCATTTACATTGACCTTAATCACAAAATCGTACAGAATTCATTTAGTTCATAGTAATCTCATTATTGTTTTACCCATAAAATCTGTGCTTTTATCATTTCAACCAATTGACTGTTATGTTTTGGATTCTGTAATTCATATTTGCAATAGAGACAAGGCATGTAAATAGTTTTCATAAGTAACAATAAAATTTATGCTACCACTTATATTTGAACATCCCTAACGGTTTTCGTATTGATGAATGAAGAAGATATTAAAATTCATTGTTTGATTCAATGGAATATTTTGCGTAGAGGTTGATCGCTTCGATACAATTCACATTTCACATGGAGATAATCAAATCAAATAAGCTGAGTTGGACGAAGTGTTGAAGTGACACGCACATAGTGATAATGTGCGGAGTGTGACGTGGTGGTTGTGGTGGTGTTGTTGATATTGTAGATGTTGATTATGATGATTGGCTGTGAAATTGTGATGGTGGTGATTATGTTGTATATTGTTCGTGAGATTCGATCTGGTGCCCAAATCCAACACCTCACACCACTTGACCACCCGAAAAATGATTTACAATGCACAACACTAATTCATCAATATCAACATTACATTTCACACTCTTCCAAATACACTGTGCTGTTCACGACAAAACTAAACACTACATGCCTCACAATATATACAGTACACATTGAATACTACACACAACACATTACACAATACACAGCTTCGAACAAAATGTCATGTACGGCAGCGAGAGCATGGGGCAGAAGGATTTGTTTGGGTCTGTTGACTTGAACTAGGTGTTGCTGCGGCAGATGTATGTGGGTTGGGTGGTTGTTGGACTACACGAACTTCAGTATGATCTGAACCATCATGATGAACCATGGTAGAGTCCTGCTGTAAATTCATCAGACGTTGATATTTATTTGCAATATCAGTTAGTGTCAATTTATGGTCTTGTTCTAATCCAGTTAGCAAGCGTGTTCTAATGTCACTGAACGTCTGCGATTTGAGGCTGCAGATGGGAATAAGTTCTTTAAATTGATCTTCAGTAAGCGATTTCAACCGGAGGCGCTCGCATTTGCGATTGATGATACTCACATGTGTGAGAAAATCAGCGTCTTCGTTCATAGTCAGCTTCAAACATCGACAACATGCGTTGAACAGTGATGAGTTATCTTCAAACTGTTGGCTCAATGACTGGACGGCGTCCGAGAATGGGTGGTTGCAATGTCTATCTAATTCGCTAGAACACAGTTTTGGAAGCAGCAAGCAGACTTGCCAAGAGTCATTATGATTACCCAAATCAAATTTGAATAAGTCTTCATAAAGTAAAAACCACATATCAAATGTAACATTGGAATAAGGAGCATAATGAAACTCCGATATACTATTCACAGTGCCATCAACTGACGGTGCAGTGATAGTAGTATCCCGAGCTCCCAATTTTGGGGAAAATCTGACCCATTTTGAAGAAGCCACTTTAGTATACGTTTTGCGGTTTTGGTGTCATTTACCCAAAATTTCCCCAGACCTAGGGGAATTCCCCAATATTTCACCGAAATTCCCCAAAATTTACCCGAAATTCTAAAAAATTTCCACAAAATTGGGAGATTGGGATTAGAAGTGATTGGTTGCATGTTAGGCGTAGGCTTTGCATCTGCTAACATTTGCATTAGTATTACCTGCTGCTCGAGCAATAATTCTACTTTTGAAGGATTTATGTTTGCGCCAACTCCGTTAAGTTCAAGAGCGTGGATCGCGATCCAAAGAAAGGGTGAGCTATAAGCACTCTAGAAGTTCGATTAAGAACCGGTTTTTGTTAACATTCTAGTTTGTGATAAACATTTACAGTAAAACAATTATTTCTTGTCTATCTTATTTTCAGCTGGCTTCACCTGCAAGTTCTAACAGACGTAACTGAATGTTTTTTGTTCGCAGTATTAACGACATTGTATACCGTTGGTACCTCATCGACCATGACATTTGCTTGTAAACGAAAGATTTTTTTATCTTTCTAGAACATTGTGAATGATCGTTCAATGTCTACGTAACGTGCTGACGTTACAAATCAATGAAGAAACGATGTATTAATGAATGATTTGTAATTTTATAAACCATAATAAACATTTCAATGTGTCACAATTCAGTCTTTCAATTACAGCGATAGATCGATTAACGTTAAGTATCTTTGGCACTGCATTCATTGCGTAAATGACTAAAAATAATGAAATATCACAGTAAAAGTTGTAGGTGTTTATTCTCGTCTGGCTTTTCCGTGATGTCTGTAGAAATTTGTTGAGAAGTATCGTGTTAAAACGAATTTGCAAAAACTATAATAATAAGATTATGGTGAAATTTATGGGAAAATATGAAATTCCGGAGAAAGTTTGAGAACACAAACTTTTGGAGAAAATTTGCGTTTGTTTCCAAAATTTCCTCTGAGTATGGTAATCGTTCCTCAGAATTTTCATACATACACGTTGACTGCGAAAGGAACAAAGACTCAGTGACCAAAAACCGGTATGCCAGGTATTTGATACATGTCAGCCCCGCTAACTAGAGGAAGAAGTGCAAGCTTGGAATGTGGAATCAGCGATAACAACAAACACAAATGACACGGTTAAAACGTCAGAGCCGTTCGAAGCAGACCGCCCTTTCGTTTGAACGAACTTGAACGGCCTGACACGAGGCGGTCATTCCGTATTTCAACTACTGTGGGTTTGTTGCGTTGCACGAGTACCAAGTTTTTCCATATTTAAGTCATCTTTTGCTGCAATAAAAAGCACAAAGTAACTGCCAAAAGCACTAATTTAGCGTCCACTGTTTTCTAGTGTACACATTGTCTCTGTTGTTGCTTCGTAACTTGATCTGTGATCCCAACTGCTGTAGTCAACCCAAACCCGGTAAATCCTAAGTATTTGTAGTACTTCCCTGGGTTATTATTGTTTGTAGTGCATCATGCTCAAGTGACATTTCAGTCGACGTTAGCGATGATTTTCAAAGTATGATTCTGAACAAGCGTTTCGCATGCTGGGATGACTTTGATAGCGCGCTAAAAGAGATCCGAAAGGTATGGAAGTATAATTTTATCCCTTCTCAGACTACCCATACTCATTACATCCACACGAAAAGCAAGCTGCTGAAGAATGTCAGGTTCAAATACTTGTTTGTTACATTTCACTGTACATTTGGTGAAAAACGGAAATCAGAAGGTTTGAAAGTGAATCAAAAATCTGTGACTAATATCTGACGTTTAAGGTCTGAATTCCATAAATGCCAATCGAAGTTCCGTGTAAGATTGGAGGAGCAAGGATATGTCATCAAATCCTACAAGATTCTCCACAATCATACATGTAGTACTTCATGGATGGTTTGTGATCCATGGTAAAGAAGATTGTCTTCGGAACAAAAAAAAACTTGAAGCCAGTAATATTGCACTGTCATTCAGCAGATGAAGTTATAGAAAGTATTAAGGAAAGAAGGAAAGCAGGTTACCGCTGCTGATGTCAAAGCTCTGAAAAGTAAAGTCTCCCCTGATAAGTGCATATAAATATATTTCGGTTTGTTGTACTCAGAGGCAGATAATGGATATGCTGCGTCGAAATGGTGAAGTTAGGGAACATGTTGACGCCATTCGCAAGATCAAAAGTGTTATACGAACGTTAAAAAAATGCGTTTTGTTTATCTAGAATATGAAACCGCCGACTGGTTATTAACCGTCGACTGCGGAAAGCATTACGAGGTGGATCTAAGTACTTGTCAATGCAGTTGTAGCATATTTATTATGTGTCGATATTCTTGCCGACATCTGCTACTGGTATATATTGAAAGATGGACTCTTACAGGTAAGCTTTATTAAGTATGGAATATAAACTGTTTAGCTCATCAACTTCTTAGGTATTGCAGCAGATGGAAGTTACATATTACG